CGAGGGAGGTGATTGTCCCGCTCTACTCTGCGCTGGTGCGGCCTCACCTCGAGTACTGTGTGCAGTTCTGAGCACCACAGTACAAAAAAGACATTGAACTGTTGGAGAGTGTGCAGAGGAGGGCAACAAAGATGGTGAAGGGCCTAGAGGGGAAGACGTATGAGGAGTGGCTGAGGTCATAGGGCCTGTTCAGCGTGGAGAAGAGGAGGCTGAGAGGGGACCTCATCGCGGCCTACAACTTCCTTGCGAAGGGGAGTGGAGAAGCAGGTGACCTATTCTCTGTAAACACCAGTGATAGGACCCGTGGGAGCGGTGTTAAGCTGAGGCAGGGGAAGTTCAGGCTGGACACCAGGAAGAGGTTCTTCACCGAGAGGGTGGTTGCACACTGGAACAGGCTCCCCAGGGACATAGTCACTGCACCAAGCCTGTCTGAATTTAAGAAGTGATCGGACTGTGCACTTAGTCACATGGTCTAAACTTTTGGGCAGACCTGTGCGGTGCCAGGAGTTGGACTTGATGATCCTTATGGGTCCCTTCCAACTCAGGATATTCTATGATTCTATGGTTCTATGACCCACTGAATCAACAGCTTGAGGAGGAGACAAAGTATTGCCTTCCCAGGGGTTAGACACTGCTTATTCTACCGTGGCAGTTTAGAAAGTGCTTTAAGATTTCTAGATGAAAATTACATGGAAAGCCAACAGCTGACTTTCAAGTCATTAGATACCTGAGTAATTGAAAGGCCTGAACTATCTGGACTGTAAAGAATCTAGTGATATTTGATATCACAAGGTTTCCTTGCTGGGCTAAATCTTCATGAAATCAACTCAGATATCTTCAACATCTTCACAGCTGACCCTTTGCCTTAGTGTGGTTTCAGTCTGCTGCATTCCAGCTGCTAAATCTAAGGTGAATTCAAACCTCACCTACTGTGATCTCTCACTCCGTGCTTTGATTCAGCTTCATTGTGAAGGACATAGAAAGGAAAGAGACTAAGTATTTTGATGGTCTGTAATGTAAGTACTATTTAACATTTATAAGACTATCTACGTGTGGGAAGGAATATTTGCCCTTTAAATGAATGATGATGAATGATGACATCAAGCTGTATGCGCTGGCTTGACATGCTTGTACTCTCTGGATATCGTTGCCGCTTTCATACTGCAAATGTCACACCACACACACACAGAGGCAGATGTGCCAAAATGTGATAAAACCAGAGTGCAATTTTTCACACATCGACACTACTGTTAATTAAGACAACTTGCAAACCTGGATGGAAACTTTTTTTTTTTTTTTTTGGCTGTACTCTTTGTAAAGGAGAAAAAAAAAAAAAAAAGACATGGGGATTTCTGTTTTCCTGAAGGAACAGAGTTCATCTGACTGCTGTTGTATAGCTTTCAATCTCAGAATAGCAGTGGTGGAGAAGGAGGTCCATCACTGCGTAAGTGGTCAACTACTGTGAGTTTCTTTCTCTTACTCCTCTTGAAGTAGTAATATTTCTCATATTCTCTGATTCTGAGGTATGCTGCTGTCTTGTCAGACTCAAATTGATTGGTATGGGCGGTTAACTCCAAGTACATGCTGCTTGATTACCAGCCAAGTTCACTACCAAGAGACTGACTTATCAATCTTGATCAAATTATAACTCACTGAACTTCCAAAGTATAGAAAATCTGTTTCCTAGCTAAGGACAACATAAGGGCAGCTCATGTTCAGTTATCTTCTTATTTGTACCCCATGCGATACTAGCAACCTTCAGGGTGATATTTGGTTTGTACATAGACTATGGAGTACAACAAGATGGTCTCTCTCCTTTGGTCCTTCAGTACTGAGAGCAGCAGCCTGCAGTGCTTGCTGACCTGCTTGTAGCCCTTTGCTCACTGTCTGATGAACATATGACTGTCCAATTAGTCCCACATGTGGGAAACAGAAAAGGAACAAACAAAGCTGGGAATGTATTTTTTTTCAGTCAGGAAGCAAAATAAAATGGAGCTGCACCCCCAGCACTGATGTGAAGAAATACTGGAAGGAGTATCAGGGCCTGTTAATTGAGCATTAGATTTTGCATGGTCCTTTATTACAAGGTAAACAATTCAGACTTAATCAGTCTCCTAGTGAAACCTTTCAAAGAAAGAATTTGAAATGGAATGGAATAGGTTTGGAAAAGGAAAGGGAAAGGAAAATGTTTAGAGGTTTGAAAACAAACCATCGATTTGTAAACTTAACAGGTCACGTGTTGTTGAAAACTATAGAATAAAATTGCACTGTGTGATCAGAGAAGAAGAAAGCCATAAACACTATTCCTCAGGAGCAACCACAGAGAAAGCTAAGACTTGGGTTAACTGAAGTAGTTCAGAGAAGATCAAAGCTTGGACTGAGAGAGAGGGAAGGCATTTGCACAAAAGGCTACTTGGAAAAGCTCTGTGTGCAGGGACGCCAGTCAATACTCTCAAAGCCCCTTACGTTTTATATTGGTCTAATAGCTTCATACTTATGTTAAGCAATTACTTCACTGCAGTTCTTTTGTTTGTCTTGCTTACCTCTCTTTAGTCTTTCGTACGGCTTTTCCTGTGAAAACCCGGTGGTTTATGAGGAAAAGCTATTTACTTACGGAAGATGATTCATGCAAAAACTTCAATATTCGTTGCACTTACATCATTTTTCAAATGCCAACTTGTGAGTTTTTAGTCTTCTGAAGTGATATGACCCCTGGGTGGACGAAGGCAAATATGAAGTTTATCTGACATATGCAACATACCCTTCTCATCCCCTGAAAAAATGTAAGGGACGATGAAATATTTTGAATCCACGTGAAGAAAACCTGGCTTGATAACACACTTTCAAATAATTTTTATTTCAGATATGTTAATTGAAGAAGGCTCAAGGCAGTGCCTGATATCTGAATATTTTTGTAAATGGAGATCTTGAACATGTTCTACTATGACTACATCTTCAAATGCAAACTTTAGAAATTAAAAGCAATTTAGCATTTCATGAATTTTTCTTAATAATGCTCCAAGGAAGTACAACTTCCAAATTATGGAACAATTTAAATTATTACTATATTGTCTGCTAGGCAACTTAGAAGAAATTCTTTTTCCTTAAAAATGAAACTCAATTGTTTATTATTTTCCTTTTTTCTATCATTCCTGTAAATACTGCAGTGAAACCATTGATCTGGATAACTGGCTAAAAATATTATTCACTGACAAGTGAACTGATGGAAGCTTCAAGCTAATATATTCTAATTTCATCCTAATATATTTTATACTCTAATTGTTATCAGGAAGAATAAATATAATTTAAAAATCCAAAACCAATCAAACTAAAACAAGGACATCTCTTCTGGCTAGAGTAAGTGGATATTTGTATCAATATTGTCTCTAGAATTCTTTGTCTCTGACTTATTTCATTAACCTCTATTTATTTTTAATCTGTTGAGAGGTTTTTACTAAATTAGAACTAAAGAAAATAAGTATGTTTCAAGAACATTTTGAAATTCTTTTTTAGTCTATTTTCGTAGTCGTCCAAAACAGCTAGAAAGGTTTTATCTGCTTTTATGTTCATACTGGCCATTTCTTTTTCTTAGAAGTAATGCATTCTGTAGCATTGCCTCACAGAGGACATTGAGGGTGATTTCTTTTACGATCGTGTTGTATGGCACTTAGGAGGACTGTGGCTCAGAGCTGTGCAGGATGGACTCTGAGATATTTATCAGATACAAAGATGGACAGAGATGGCCTTGTCCAGACCCTGGATCCAAAAATTCCAGTTTAAATTTGAGGTCTCCCTTCAGCCTGCCTACCTTCCTGTCCAGGTTTTGGGGGCAAACCTCTATGCAATGAACAGGCACTGAAGCACTGAGCTGAATAAGCCTACAATTTCAAGGCTGTTCGGTGCTTTCTGTCTGGTTAGAGCCCTGTCTTTTAGTTTGCTTGTCTTAAACTAGTCCTTTCTGCTTCAAACTTTTGAAAAACCCATTTCTTACAACATTTGTCTTTTGTGCTATGTTAAGCAAATTTGGGAAATAAGTGAGATTTTTCAGTCTGTTTCCTTTTAGAAAATACTCTCCACTGGAATAGAACAGCTTGTGCTAAAACACCTGATTATAGCAGAATCTCTGCAAGGCCATTTGACATTGTTTCTTCCTTTTCTGCCAATGTTATGATGGAAACTAAAAGCTTGACTAAATTTACATAAGTGTATTTTATTCTTTACTTGTACAGCATGTAAATATATGCAACACTGTAGTCAAGAAGATTTATTATATCTATTCAAGTGTAGAGGTAGCATGGATTGTAGTACAAATTGTTTTAAAGTGCAAGGAGGTTACTGAACTGTCATAGTATGGATGTGTGTGCACTTACCCTACCAGTCTGCTCATTTAATGATAATGAATTAGTGCTTAGTGGGGAAGCTCTTCTCCCGAGGCCAGTATATTCATTTTTGATTGTTAAATCTTTGTGCATGACATCTCGCTGTGAGTCGTGCACTTTTGTTTGCATTAGCAAAGAAACATTAGTGCCATGGGATGCCTGAGCTATTTGTGAACACCTTTACAGCAGCGCTGTAATGGGGCTGTGTTTTGGACTGGTTTTGCCTCTGCTGACCTCCCTGGCCTTGGGTTTAGGGTTCAGGTTTAGGGCAGAGTTTTTAAAAGATTTTCAGATGCAGAGGCAGCAAGGAGTTAAAAGTAAGGCAGAGCTGAGACCTGCTGGGGTATCTGTACAAATGCCCCCCATGAGGCCAGGGACACCCCCAAACCTCTAAGGTAACCAGACAGCTGTGGGCTTGGTTAAAAGGCACAAGCAACAAGGTGAGAAATGAAGCAGACATCCCGTTTTCTATCCTGCCCAAGGATTTGGGCTGCAAAAAGCCATGTTATACCAGAAAATCTTCCCGTACCCTCCATTAGCTTGTTCAAAATCAGACGATCATTATATAAAAATAGGCATTACTCTTGCTTGTGATCAACCATCTTGTTCTCTGATTCCTAGGCTGGCCACAGTGGGGGCTCCTGCATATGTCTGCTTTGCAAGAAGATTTTGACCGGAGCCGTGGCTTGAGGTAAGGAGCAAGCGCTGCTGCCTTAGGCTTGTGCTGGGCATTGGAAACTTGACTTGGAAACTTGACTGCAACTTGACGACAGAAAGCTGTGACTTTCAGCCTGGTTTAATAGGGTGGAAAAATGGCTATTGTTTCTGAGATTTCATTTTCTCTGTATTATCCCTTATACTTTTAAAGCACTCTTTCTCAACTAATTTATAGGACAGATAATTTAATCTGAGAGCTGAGTAAATGTGCTGTAATACAGCCTACACTGTGCTCATATGAAAGCTTAAATTGTGTTGTTTTATTTTATCCCCTTGGAAGAAAATAGTCATTTTCACTGGAAGTACGAGGAGATTTTTATATAAGAAGAAATAGCATTTAATGTGTTGTTTTAGAAAGTGAAGATGAAAAATTCTTATAGCACTTTTAGGGAATTGCTCTATTGCTCTATTGCTCTCCTCTCCTCTCCTCTCCTCTCCTCTCCTCTCCTCTCCTCTCCTCTCCTCTCCTCTCCTCTCCTCTCCTCTCCTCTCCTCTCCTCTCCTCTCCTCTCCTCTCCTCTCCTCTCCTCTCCTCTCCTCTCCTCTCCTCTCCTCTCCTCTCCTCTCCTCTCCTCTCCTCTCCTCTCCTCTTTTTTCCTTTCTTTTCCTTTCTTTTCCTTTCTTTTCTTTTCTTTCAGGAAAGTCCACTGCAGCTAGCAGAAGTAGACTCCTTCCTTGAGTCAAATGTAATGTGGATATAAGCCCTCACTGCTCAGTTATCTTGCAGTTTGCAGTAAAAAGAAGCCCCATTTGCTCAAGAAGTGATGCCTCTATTCTGCCTGTAGCATGCATAATTGCAGTGACTGGCTTTGGTTGGTGGGTGCCATAACCAGACAGAAGTAAATATCTTCCAGCAATATGAAGGGAAATGCTTGCTTTACTGAAGAAAGCGGCATTAGAAAATGAACTCTGTTAAGTAAATATTTTAAATATAAATGAAATAGCTGTTTCACTGAGAATTAGGTTCAAATTCTGATGGAAGTTCTTGCCTTTTAATTGTTTCCTGCATCTTGAGCCCATTGTCTCAAATGCTTCAGATGGAAGCCTAGCAGAGTGATGTCTATGGACTAATCAGAAACTCTGGCTGCTGCAGGTTAGCTGCTCTGTGGAGAGGTCATGTCAAAGATGGGATGAGATGTCACCACCCTATGACATAAGAACCACCTGCCACAGACATTGGGCCAAAAAAAAAAAATATAATAAAAATGAGGGGGTAACAAATGAGGGGGTATCAGTATTGTTTTTCACCTAGTAGTGGGGTCAGAGGGTAAAACAACTGATGGTCTGATATCCTTCTCCCTCACTTCCAGCTCTCAGGAGGATGTCAAGGGCCAGCCTTGATCTGGTGGCAATAAGGCCACAAATCTCTCCCTCTGTTGTGATTTCTGATACAGCATGAGTCAGTCTTGGTAAAATTTGATGAAAATGACATTTTAAAATAGGATTCTGGCCACTTCCCCTTTCTTTCAGTTTTCCTTTAAGAAAATTCTACCAAATAGTCGAGCCTCAGTAGATTTGAGGTTTAGGCAAAATGATTTTTATCTTTTTTTCACATTATGTTAACCAGCTTGGCATAATGCATGTGCATGGGGATGTTGCCATGAGGGTATCTGTGCCCCTTTCTAGCAAAACAGAGAATTCACTGAGATAGGGGCCTTTAATCTAAAAGATCTTGCTTCCCAACACTTAACAAGATCATCTGCTGTAGTAGGCAGTACTTACCATGGACTCTGGGATTTTTACTCTAAGTCAGGAATTTGACATCATTGAATTGTTTGCTACCACCAGAGGCTGTTTCCCAGGAGTTTTCTCAAACTTTCACTTCTTTCCAGGCAGTCTAGGCACTGTGCTTCTGATGCTTTTGTAATCTCTTCAGTTAGAGGTTTGCAGTAACCCAAATGGGAGGCTGTGCACTAGTGAACTGCCTGTTCTGTCACAGCACTGCACAACATTCTTTGATTAAATTCAGACCCCACAAACTTGTTCTTCTTTATGTTCCAAAGATTCTTCTGTGACAATGAAAGAACAGAGCCAATATTTAACAACTGTTGCTTCCTTTGGTTAATTTTGACTTTCTGAGAGATAGAAACCAAACTGTGATTTTCTGGTCAGAGTTCTCCAACCTATCTCTGAACCAGGTGAAACGAGAATGGGGTGGGGAACAGGGCTTCCTTTCCACAGCCTGGAAAACCCTTCCATTGCCAGGGCTCAGTGCTTGCTGAAGGAAGAGGCCTTTCAGCAGAATGGGATCAGGGATAGAAAGTTTTTTTTTTGTTTGTTTTTGTTTTTACCATTGAGAGGTTTCTCTGCAAGATTTCCGTGTGGAAACTAGAAGTCTGACTTGAATTGCTGCTCCCTGCTTTCCCCTCAAGGCTATAGGCCTGGAATAATGTGCAGAGAGAGAAAGGTTAATGATGTGAAGGTTAATGATGTAGCTGTGCTGGCATGGGAATCCCTTCACTGTAAGTTTCTTGAAGGCCTGACACTAGATGATCCAAATGTTTCAGTGGTCTCTGGGCAGACAGATGGGCTTTCTGCTTTGTATGGCAGCAAAGAGAACGCGGTTCATATCTGCTGCTTGCAAGTGTTTGGACTATGATATTTTGCATGACAGTAGATGAACAAAGCCATATATTTTTTTTCCTTTTGCATCTGGTGTATAGGCTTACCCTTTGAAGAAGGTGGAAAAATACCAAAGATATCAAAGAAAAAGTTGAAAAATGTGAAAATATCACTCACATTCAGATAACTATTTGGAGTTTGCTGATCCCTCATTAGTAAGGTTCTGTTATATTTCATTAAATCTTGCATATCAGACAAAAATCCCCACAAAACAAAACAAAATCAGAATTTGGGAGTAGTATATCTGCAGTATATTTCATGTAGCCTACCTGGCTATTACATGTTTTCTTTACTGGTGTGTAGGAAGGCTGCAGTTTTATGTAGGTGCAAGTAATAGGGAAATATTCGTTGCCAGTTCAATATTACCCAACTTGCCTGTCTGCACTGACATACAACATTTGCATCAGTTTGAGATGACGGTAATTATGAATCAATGTGTAGAATTAGCAATCCTAAATCAAAGCTGAGAATCTGCACACAGGAAACCCAACAACTTTAAAACAATAAAACAACTTTAAAAGGTGAAAGCAACTTCAGTACCACTGTAACCTGTCCTGTGCCGGGTTTGTCACTCTCTTGTGTCAGCTGTGTCAGTTGTAGTGTTTTTGTCATTTTAGGGTTATAGTTCACTGATAATTACTATCCAGCTCTTCTGGTACCAGGATAATGGGTTGTATCTGCAGTTCTGTTAAGAAATATCCTTCGTAGAATTGTGATCATTGCCAGTTATCTGCTATCCCATACCATTTTCTTGTATGGCTCCCGGTTTGGATCAAGGTTTCCAAACTTGCCTTTGAATTGGTCACATAATTTGCTTTATTTTCTGTATCAAAATTTCAGAATGTCTTCATATTCTTCATCTCTTGTCCTGCAAAGATTTATAATGTAAATACGAAACTGGACTCAGTCCAGAAATTTGTAACTGGTTTAAATATCTCCAGTTTGGATGTGATGAGATGATTTTGCTCCATTTCTTAAGTTCCCTGTTAGTTTTACTTAATTGTGTTTTTCCTATTTTAGACGTATTCAGATAAAACATTTCTGACTCATACAGGCTGGTGTCTCCATGTGAATTATCACTGTTTAGGGATAATATATATTGTTGTCAGCTACATGATAAAATGTTTTTCCATCTTTTTGTAACTTGTTTTTCATGCATAACTTTTCTTTTTGCTGTAGTCACAAGGGAAACTGTTTTAATTTTGCATAGAATCAGTTTAGTCTACTCTGATTTTCTAAGTCAATTTTTTCTTTGAATCATGCACGTTCTTTCAATTCACAGGTTTGCTTTAAGGTGGACTTTGTATGCTAAAATCACAGCCTTCAGGGGCATCTAACATTGGAGGCAGAATGAAGGCAGAATATAAAATGCCACTGAGTTGTTGATTCTAATTTGGTTCATACAAAGGAAAACAAAAAAGCCCGATGAAGACAAAATGAATTTTGGCTTTGCACATTGAACAAACAGATCAGGCATTATTACATGTTATCAATGCCAGTTAATTCAATAGTAATTGTTTCCACTGTGGTAACTGAAAAACAATTTGGGGCAAGGGCTGTTTCTTTGCAAAATATAGTGGGTATGCTGGCTGTGATTTATAACTGAACTCTTAGGTGGGACTGGGACACAGGCGTAACAAATATCCTAATGATGAATATTATAATTACTACTTCTACAGAAGCGTTACTAAGCTGTGCCTAGCTTGACTCTTGGCAATAGAGTCACTAAATAAACTAACCTGAAGGCAGGCAGGTAATTTCTTAATCTGGCTTAATCTTCTTACACCAAGGCTTAGGTAGAGTTAATGTGAGGATATGAAAGCACATCTGGAAAAGTCAGACATTGTCATTCTGATAAAGCTGAGCTTCAGATCTCTTAATTATAGGCTGTTTATGGAACAGCAAATGTATCTAGTTAGTCTGGAGAAAAAGAAAGACTGTTCCAGATGTGTTTGCATCTTTTCTTACATCTTACATATGGACATCTCTGACACAGCTGGGCAACCAAAGAGACCAAGTAAAAGGAAGCTTTTTAACGGTGCCATAGGTTTTAGGACCACCAATAGGCTTTATGTTTCTCTCTCTTTTTTCTTTTTTCTTTCTTCTTTCTTTCTTTCTTTCTTTCTTTCTTTCTTTCTTTCTTTCTTTCTTTCTTTCTTTCTTTCTTTCTTTCTTTCTTTCTTTTTTTTTTTTTTTTATAAATGTTTTTTAAGCTACTTAAGCCACAGGAAGGCACCTCAAATGGCTTATTTTGGTTGTCTCCTGTTTCTCATTCAGAGCAATGACCTAACGCAGAGGCTTTGCCTGTGCTCTCTTTTCCTCTTTTGTGTCCTCCTTTTCTGATCATGGGGTCTTACCCAGGTGCATTTGGATTACAGTGACATCTGTCTGTCTTGTTAAATCCCCTCTTGAAGCAGCACTGTTATTTATGGTCAGAAGCCTCAGGCAGAGGGGTACAAGCCTGAGGCCCAGGCCAGGCCGCTGCATGCCCCCTGCAGAGGACGCATCTTGCCAAAGCCATTCCAGGCCGCACCTCTGCTTGAGGGGCACAGCAAAAAGGCATTGAGCTTTATTGCTCATCCTGCAGGTAGCCAGGGTGTTGTAGGAGTCTTGTGCAAAGAGTGGCAGAGGCCTAGATAGAGAAGTTCTCTGAATTTGGAGGTGACCTGGGGGTTCAAATTTCCCCTCTTCCTCCCTCATCCTCTCATCCCTGCATGAATTTTTTTGCTGCTTTTGGAAACACAGTAGTTGTTTTTCCTAGCTGTATTTATGTCAAATATTTAATGGGGTTGTCTAGACCTTATCAAAGTGTGCTATAAAGAGAAAAAAGAGTGAACTGAGGGCATTTTGTAGGTTTCTTGGGGAGCGGGTGAGAAAAGACGGGCTGTGTGCAATGGCAGAGATCCAGCAGCAGCAGAAGGTGTTGGGGCCTCCCTGAGTAACTACAGCTGGAGGTCACTAATAGCTCTGACATGTATGGTGTGTGGCAAGTGCTGTGAAGCTTTTTGTTTTGGAAGTGCCTGAGAGGAATAAATCTCCTTTCAGCATTCATTTGTCACTATTACATCCCTGCAGACTTTCTATCCTGTCAGGGTGTCAATCTACCAATGCAGATATCGGCTGTGCCATGTTGCTGAAAACAGCCCTCCTTTCATCTGGAATCAGTTCAATTCCTTCTCCTCAGAGGTTCAAAGGTTTTTTTTTGAAAGTAGTTTTCTTGACAGTAATAGCCATAAATGCAGCCATTATCAGCTCTAGGCAAAAAGTACTTGAGAGATACGTACCTTTTTATGAAAGCGTTTTCCACACAAACACACAGGTTTTTGCCAGAGTATCTCTTGGCTTTGCATTAGCAAACTCAGGGTAACACAAGGCATGAAACTGCATCTCCTCATTTTCCCCATATATAACTACTTCATTTCATCAGCTATGTAAAATGCATGCCACTACATAAAATTGCTGCATTAATCCTTTGAGAAATACAAATTTTTGTTCAATAATAAATTTATCATTTGCTCATTTCCATTACTATAATGTATTTGCAATTAATGTTTTTCACCTTTTTGAAACTCTACAGAGTTTTACTGAAAATACTTGAAACCTCTTTTACTGAGCATAATCTGTTCAAACAGGATCTGAGTAGGTTTGCAAATTGTTAATGAATATTGGAGTTGACAGAAGTGTTCTAGACTTTTAAAATTATATATTTTCAGTTCCTAAAGTAAAGTAAAATTTATATTTCTATATAAATCTATAAGTAAAATTATATATTTTCAGTTCCTAAAAACCGAGCAACACTCCGAAGAGTGAAATTAATCTGAGTTTCAAACAAAATCATACATTTCTATCCTAGCCTGTTGTCAGTTTTCATCTCAAGTGTCAATATAGCAAGAAGGCGTGGAACTTTGGTGGGAATGCTTCAGCCCCTAGGATGGAGAGAGGAAGATGATCCAATGGTAGGGATATTCACTTGGAATAAGGTATTGCACAACATTGTGGAAAATATATAAAATTAGGGGGTGTAAAATTTATTTTAGCTGACACACTCTTGACCTCAGTCTTTACCACCCAGGTCACATTGGGTTGTGTAGGAAATCAGTTGGGAGAAGGAGCTTTGGAGGAGCTCGGCTCCACCATGACCAGTCTTTGTTGGTGAAGGAGATGTACGTCCCTCCAGTGAAACTGGCAGCACAAGAGTGGCATCCCTTCTGGTGTGTCTCCAGCTTATCTGAGAGCTCTTTGAACAAATTGAGCTTCTACCACTATTAACAATAGCAAGGACATATCTAATAACTTCCTGAATTAGGATAAAGAAACCTACTGCCTTTGAGCTTTTTAAGTATTTTTTTTTCCATGCATTATTTTTATTTTATTATATATTATATATAATATATATTATATTATATTTCATTATATATTATTTTTATTCTAAAACAACTGTTCTCAGAGCCTTCACTTAATGCTTATCCTAAATTGCAGATCTAGGGTTGCTCTGAAGGCAGGAAACAATGATCATAGTACCTTTGATAGGTTCATAGACATGAAAGATATGCGTTAGTAGACAGAAGTAGTTATGGAGGAGAAAATTAAACAGCCCTTTCTCATTATACACAGTGAAGCCAACTTGGAAACTTTTCAAACTGAGAAGTGACAAAACATTGATAGTGCCACAGCACTGCAAATCTAAGTTACTTCTAAAATGAAGTTATTTTTAAGGTTATGCCTTTAAAATATGAAAGGTCAGTGTACTATTCAAAGATTGCAATTACCGCAAATGGCTTTATAAGCTTCATGATTAGATTAAAAAAGATCAAAGTCACATCTGAGTAAAAGAACGAATTACTTTCTAGTAAAGTCAGCCTTCCCTTTTGAAGATACACTCCATGTTAATAGATCCAGTGAATGTCTTTTCACAGACTGATTTCTGCAGCTTCAAAAGTCTTGTTACCAGCCCACAGGACCTTTCACACACTGGGGTTACTAAATGCAAGTTTTGAATGCTTTTCAGTGCAAAGGAAATATTTAAAATTAGAACAGCAGAAAAATCATTAACTCAATTTCAAACATTTCTGTTTAAAAAGAGTTTAATAATGTTCTCTCTCTCCCCTCCTTTTCTTCTTTAATTGAATGACAGATTTTTTTCGTTTGTCACCAAAGTTGTTAACTTTGCTTGGTTTTATTTCCAAGGACTTTAAGGAAAGGGTTTTCTGTACATCAAGGTAATTCTGTGTTATCCTTTCACCTATCGACTAGGTGCATCTCAGAACGGACAGTTTGCTAGCTCATGATGGGGAATTAATGGATGTGGCTGAGCATTGCTTGCAATCATCACCAAAATGAGGGACTTTCTCAGCTCCACCACAGCCAGGCAGTGTGCAGTGCTTCTGGGAAGAGGAAGGCACTTCTCTGGAGGAGTAACTCAGGGTAAGTTTTTCCGTCCTTCCTGTATTAGAGAGGGGGAAAACTGTGATAAAGGAGTAAAAACACAAGCAAGTACTTCCTCTATCTACAGTCTGTGGACCACCAACCATCTGAAAGACAGCAAAACGTGGTAAGTCCAGCTCATGCTGGTCCCCAGGGCCAGGTGGGATCTGGCTTGTATGATCAGTATCCCAGTGAAAGTGCTAAAATAACAAATAGTGAAATTCCTAATACTGTTATACTCAAGCATGTAATTATCATCTCCTTTCCTTTTTGCCAACTCATAGTGAGATGCATTATTTTTATTTTTTCAGAAAGGTTGGACAGTCCTTTGAGTAAAAAGTCTAGGAGTGTTATTCTGACACACACTAAGCAAATTATGCTCTTTGGTTACTGAACTTGCACTTGTGTATTCTTCTGGAAACAATTTCTTTATAATTAATTGTCTATTTGCTGCTGCAGCTGAAATAGATTTTTCTAGCCCTTGAAAACTTGGAAGTGTTCAAAATTTTCCTAACTGACATTGGAGTGAAGTATGGAAAAAGCCCAAATAAAAATAAAACTATTATTTTCTTTTGGAACTTTAGAAAACTTTCATCTTCCAGTGCAAATCCTCCTGATATTTATTAATTTTATGATTACTGTTAGCTTAAGTACAGGAGTTTTTTGCAAATAGGATTTTTGCAAGTAAAAATAGTTCATGTTTAAATTTTAAAAATATTTTTCTGAGAAAAAAATCCCAGTTATCTTTGTTGTTTGTTTGTTTGTGTGTGTGTGTCTGTGTGTGTAATGTTTTGGTTTAGAAAAGTTTGTATTTTCTGAAATAATGAAACATTTTCCACTGAGAAATGCCCAGGTTTAACTGGAGCTACTTACTGGATAATGAGGGTTCATAAAAGACCTCTCATCTTCTCCCAAGCCACCTGTGCTTTCTTTTGAATAATTCATTCTATCCTATTTTTCATACCTTCATGGCTATGATAAAGAATTGTTTTATGTATCATACATACATCATAGAACACCCTGAGAGTTTCTTCATGTGTTTCAGACAGGGATTATTCTACAGAGAAATAAATGGACACATGGGATGATCAGGGCTAGTGACACTTCTTGTCTACTGAAGGCTATGCTATGTGAAAAGGAAAGGGTGTTCCATTTTCAGGGGAGCAGGAAAACACAAGAGCAAGAGGAAGTGTGAAGCATGCTGAAAGAAAGATGAGGTTCTTCCTTCTCCTCTGCCCCAAAGTACATGTGGGCTGTGGGAAGAAATGTTCATAGCAGTATGCATGGGAAAACCCATGGTCTGGTAGCCCTGTGTGAATGGTAGTGAATATCTTTTAACATATGTGTGCAATAATCAGAGATGCTTTTTTGTGCTTCTCAGGAGAAAATAAACGAGATTTACAATTTTGTTCAAAAATGTAAACACTGAGGTCAGTGCTGCTGGGAAAGTAACTCAGTCTGTAACAGGCGTGCTTGGGCCCTGTATCTGGACTAGAAATATAAGTGAAAATGTCCAGCTCATGCCTCAGATGCTGCACACTGTGCTCGGATGGGCTGTTCCCAGTTGGTAGCCACATGTGAGCACCACGGAAAGTGCACGGGGCAGCGCCAGTACTTGGGGCACCCCATGGGCCACAGGTTTCGCCATCCTGGCGCAGCCTAGCCCAGCAGGCCCAAATGGGGGTCCACAAGCTCAGTGGGGTCCCAGCAGTGGCAGCTGCACTGCTGAGCCTTCCAGGCTGGCATCAAAGGCCAAAGGTGGGAGCAAAAATCCCTTTTGGGATCTCAGTGTAAGGCAAAACAAGGCCTCAGGAGGCTTCTGGGTGTTTGAAGGTATCTAGCTGGCTCCCCATGCTGAGAAGTAAGGAACTTTAAAAGAAGAATTCTAATTCACTAAAACTAGTATCTATGTGTATGGTTATCTTTCTTCCTGAATTACTCATTTAATATCTGGCCACATGCTGCTAAGGGCTTCATGGAGAGATGAGAGAGCGTATTTGCTCTCACTTCTCTGAAGTCCGCAAAGCACATTACTGGGACTGATTGTTCCCTCATCCTTTTAGTTTTTGTTCCCACAAGCTTGGAAGCAAAGAAAGGCAGCATTTTAATTTCCCACCCAAAACAGCTGATTAAACTGACTTTGTACCAGATGGATTAGAAATTGTGGCATTCACTGAGACTAGTAGAAAAAGGCATATTCTTTTTAATGAGGAAGAGAATTCCAAGTATGACTGTTTTACCATTAATTTTCAGACCAAACAGAATTTCTTTTATATATGAATGTATTTACTGCATGTAGGGTCAACAACAGATTTTAAAATGGCCTGTAGGTACTTAATTCTCAGGCCCCCAAGCTTGTATCCTGGCCTGATTGGAGTCAATGGGAAATGAAAGCAAAGCTGGGAGACAAGGTCTCATCTCCCTTCTTTGACAGGCTTCATAACTCTGAGTTTCCAAGGAAGCCTCAGTTAGCTTTTAAAACACAGATTACAAAAGCTGTTGTTAAGCAATTAGTCATAGAAGTGGTATTAAAAGGAAGGGCACATAGGGAACAGTGATGTGAGAGAGGTGTCTGGCAGCAGTGACAGTGTGGTAGGATGAGGCAGCTGAAAATGGAGAAAGAGGATGGTGGGACTACAGCAGTTTAACCTCTGTGGGAGGTGGGTGCCAGTGACTGTTGGTTTTACAGTCATTTTGTGGGACAGCTTCTTATGATCAGCAAAACAAGGCAGGGAAAGTTGGTACCATTTTGTGAGTAGTGCCTCTGTCATCAAACCCATTTTTGTTCCTGTAAAGGTGCTCATGACATCTCATGGAACAGAAATGTTGTCCCCATACCAGGGTGGCCAGTCCCTGAGGGCCTGTGCTGGACTGTGGGCTGTGGGCTGCTTGGAAACTCTTCCAGATATGCTGAGATACGAAGTGTTTAATAGCATAGGAAAAAAAAAAAAAAAAAAAAAAAAAAGTCCTGTCAGGAACCTGGAGATTTCAAATAATCATTACGATATATGAGTTTTATTGAAATCCAGGAAACCTTGCTAAAGAAAGTTGTAAATATTTTTCTCCTGAGTGACTCAGGCTGCCTCCCAACTGAAAGCAAAGCCTCCAAAATTCCAGAGATAATTTCTTTCTTCTGCACTGCCCCACTGACTTCCTAAAGCATACTGAAAAAATAGTCCATCCTCTGCCTGCATCCAGAGAAGCTGGGAAAAAGGCAATGGGCGTTAACTTTGTTTTGTTTCAAGCTTCCTTTTCAGAATAGGACATCCAGCAAAAGTTTGTGGAATTTTCTGCATCCAGTATTTGAAGGAAACATGTATGTTTGCTGGAACTGTCTCTGTCACTACAAATCCCACTGTCTCACTCCAAAAAAAAGAGTCAGCAGATTCAGCATGTAAAGATGAGCCATGGCCTGGGGCAGCTCTACCAGGCATGTACCAGCAGATGGGAAGATGGCAGGTGGGGCAGTGGCCTCTTACCCCTGTGCACAATCAGCTACCACAATAGCTGCCACGGGACAGGAAAGAGGTGATTTTACACAGCTTTGCTGTCACCCATCATCACTGGAGTAACCAAGTTGGTCCTGGCAAACTCAGAGGATGGATGAGATATGAATGTCAACCAGTCTGCACTTCCCTTTTCTTACCCAGATAACTGCTGACTAAAGTGTGACAATTCTCATATTCCTGTGAGCGTGTCTGAAATTTAGCATCTACTTTTAGAACAACAAAAAAATTACTATAATGCTGGATGTCCTCTGACCCTTCATTATCTAAAATGAAAAACTCTGAAGAGATCAACTGCATACTGCTGCAGGTTTTCTGCTACTGCATGGCAGCCTCAGTGCTGCTGCCTTTGCAACCATCTTATCCTGATTACACAAACAGTTTTGTGGGAACATCAAGTGATCTCAGACCGTTTATGAAGTACTCCTCAAAGCTGGGAAGGCTTAAACCCTAAACTGGAGCCAAAAGAACAGATGTTCCTTTTCCTTCCTTGAGGCAAGAGCCTATGGGGAGAAAAAAAAAAAAAACAAAAAAAACAACAACAAAACAACAAAAAAACAACTAAATGGGTTAATCGTAGGATAGGCTCACTGAATTTGCTTTCATCTAGGTAAAATGTCAAAATTGTTGAATTGAAATTTTAAGAACTATATAAAGATACTCGAAATACTCTGTGGAGGAGTTACCCATTTTCTCTGGCTTTATTTTTATACACAAATATAAATAGAAAATATTGTTCATGCCTGATAGCATCAGAGAATCATTGTGGTGGGAAGGGACTACACAAGGTCTCTGGTCCAGCCTCCTGCTCACTGGGGGGTCAACACTGACTTCTGGTCAGGTTGCTCAGGGTTTTTGTGCAGACAGGACAAAAAAAGTTTCCAAGGACAGAGACTCTACAGCCTCTCTGGGCAAGATGATCCAGTCTTTAATTATTCTCATACTTATTCTTTTTTACATCCAGTCACAATCCCCCATATGTCAATTTATGACCATATCCAAAGGGCAAAAGTACTTTCCTGATGACTGATGTCATATCTTGAGTGCTGGCTGGACGTTGAGCTTCATGGAGCAGATTCAGGAATAGCTTTTCTGGTGAATTTAAGAAAATGACTGCTGCCTCCATTAAGTGTTTCAGCTGCATTTTTAGCTAAGATAGTCCATGTTTTTATGTGAGTAAATAAGCACAGTGGGAATGAAAGGATAAAAAATGCAACCATAAATCACATTCTGCCATGGCATCATAAGTATAATTCCATCAATGTCAAGATACAGCTCTGTATTTTTTTATTCCATAAAAGAAGATTAAAATGATCAGAATTATGTGGTTCATCGCATGCAATTTCTAATTCTTTAAATGTTCTCCTTTTCTAGACATAGTCATTTTTAAGAAAAGCTCGAGTCAGTGACCTTCATATTTTTTCACTGAGTGACAGCATAGGAGTAATTCTACCAGAATAATTAGTATGAAAACATAGTTTGTCACCTAATAAG